CATAATTTCCTGCACTTTAAGTCAAAGGAGATGACAGAGTTTACTATTGTGCTTTAGGAATGTGGGAAATGCTTATAGTGTTTGGGTTAATCAATCTTAAATGATTTTCAAGGGCAACTTAGATTCTTTTTTAAAAACATTGGGTTAACTCCGAAATGTCATGAAACTCATGGCTGGACCTGTCAATTGCTAGGTCACTTCTGTATTAAAAATTATTCTATTTCTGCCTGGCTGGGCAGTGCTGGAGGTGGGAGCTCTCCCTCCCTCCACCTCTGGAACGAAAAGCCAAAAGCTCTATATTCTCCTTACCCTGGAGAAGCTCCAAGTCTGGGATGTGAGCCATCAAAGAAAACAACAGGGAAAGAAGGCTTTCAAGCCTTTGCCTCCCCAGGTCAGAGATGGATATGGATTGAGATGTGTCACCTGAAGAAGTCTCAGGAGAAGTGGTAGCGTAGGTCCCTTGGAGTTCTTTGGGATTGTGGTCTTCAGAATTTCTTGCTTGCATGTCTCTTAAAAGAAATTTGAGAAACCACGCTTCTTCTTGTACTTTTAAAGGTCATATCTAAAATGTTTCATCTTAAGTTTAAATAATGGCAAAGTTTGTTATTTCTGGCATAATAAGTATTGGCATTTTAAAATAAGATTGTTACATCATTCTGTAAGTGTATCCAAGGGGATCTAAATATCATAATGTACCTATCATCCATTTAAAAAATACATGAACAAGCTTTTCTTAAAAAGAAATCCTACATCACTCTTTTTCTCGTTATCTTGTATTTCCATTCCACTTGCTCCTGAACATGATAATATGAGATTTTAGGCTGGAAAGTCTTTTATTGATCAGCCTATCATATTTCCCTAAAAATTAAAAAAAATTTTGATTGAGTCTCCAAGTTTAAAACATTCATCTTGACTGTATTATTAATACAATCTCAAGGGGCGCCTGGGTGGCTCAGTCAGTTAAGTGTCTGCTTTCGGTTCAGGTCATGATCTCAGGGTCCTGGGATTGAGCCCAGAATAGGCTCAGAGGGGAGTCTGCTTCTTCCTCTTCCTCTGGTTCTGCCCCCCTCCACATTGTGCTCACTCACTCACTCTCTCTCTCTCGAATAAATAAAATCTTTAAAAATAAATAATTTTGAATACCTAATTGGTATAAACAACATAAAATATTATAAATTTTGATGAACTATTAAATTTTTTTTTAAAAATTATTTATTTATTTATTTATTTGACAGAGAGAGAGAGAACACAAGCAGGGGGAATAGGAGAGGGAGAAGCAGGCCTCCTGCTGAGCAGGGAGCCTGATGTGAGCGGGGCTTGATTCTAGGACCCTGGGATCATGACCTCAGTGGAAGGCAGACGCTTAACGACTGAGCCACCCAGGCACCCCGATGAACTATTAAAATTAAAATTTAGAATAGTTTTTACAGGAATAAGATACAGTTTAGATAAAGTCTATCACTAGTTTTCACTGTTTTTGGGAAGAAGCATGAAACACCTGTTCATTTATTCAACAATTTATTAAGCACCTCCTATTTGTCAACAGCAACTCTGGTCACTTGGGATATGGTAGTAAACATTACAGAAAAATCCCTGACCTCGTGGAGCTTACATTCTAGTGGGAGGCAATAGATAATAAGCAATAAGCATAAGTATAAGTAAATAATACAGCGTATTAGAAGAGCTATGAAGAAAGATAGAGCAGGGTAAGAGGGATCTGGGGTGTAGTGTAGGGTTCAAAATGAGTTGTGATTTAAAAAAAAAGTTAGGGTGGGCCTCATTGAGAAGATGGCATTTGACTAAAGATGGTTAGGGTGTTAGGGAGTTAGCACTGCAGATACCTGGGGGAAATGTGTGCCACACAAAGGGAAGTGCCAACACAAAGGCCCTAACTCAGGAATGTGGCTGGTATCTAATACTAATAAGGCTGTAGCAGATTCATCCAAGAGAATAATAGGAGATGAGATTAGAAAGGTAATGATGGAGTGCGGTGGTGGTGCAGATCTTGTAGAACCCTGTAGACTACTGTAAGGACAAAGACTTTTACTCTGAGTGAAATGAGGAGTCATTGTGGGGACTTAAGCAGAGGAGTGACATGATTTGACTTATGATTTGGGAGGATCCCTTTGGTTAGTATGTTGAGAATAGACTCTAAGGGGTAAGACTGAAAGCAGGAAGAGCTTTTAGAAGACTAATCCAAACATGAGATAATGGTGGCTTAGACCAGGGGGTAGTAGCAGTGGAGATGCTAAGGGAGGCTCTGAATCCAGACTAGATATGAGATGTAAAAGAAAGAGGGAGGTCCAGCATGACTCTAGGGTTTTTCATCTGAGCAATTGGAAGGATGGACTTGTCATCAACTGAGACGGGAAAATTGGTGGGTTGAACAGTTTGAGGGAGAATGTTTTTCAGTTTGTGGCAAAAGTTTGAGATGTAAACAGTAGACTGCTGGGTATTAGAATCTGGAGTTCAGATGAGAGGTCTGGGCTGAATACATAAATTTGGAAATGTCATCATATATGATGATATCATGTATCTCCGATACTGTGTATTGAAAGTTAGAAGGCTTAATGAGCCTCACCAGTGAAATGAGTATTGATATAAAAGAGAAGAATCCAAGGAATGAGCTCTAGGTCATTGCCAGGCCCTAGGTCTGGGAAAAGAGAATCAACAAAGAAGAAATAAGACAGGGAAAGAGGGACCAGTGATGAAGGAGGAAAACTGAGATGATATGGTTTAAAAAAATGTGAATCAAGTAATTAGCTGTGTTAGCTGTTACAGACAGGTCAATCAAGATGAGAGTTCCAAATAAATCATTGGACTTAGGCAATATGAAGTTCATTGTTGACCTTGATAGTTTTGATAATGTGGTAAGGATAAAAGCATGAATGGAGTTGCTCTAAGAGAAGGTGAGAGACGGGCTCAGCTGGACCCCTAAAATATGCCACATATGTAACCTTGTGTGCATTGTTATGATTCTATTATATATGTATATAGTCCTATCATAAGCATTGTATTTGGCATGTTTTTGAACTTTTTATAAATTGTATCATATGGCATGTATTCTGCTACAGAGAGGGGAGAACTAGAGACAGAAAGCATAGAAAACTCTTTTAGAAGTTCTGTTGGAATTGAAGTAGAGAAATGGGGTAGTAGTTGATGGTGGAAGTGGGTCAAAGAGATTTCTTATGATTAGAGAAATAACTTCTTATAGGTGATTCGAATGACCCAGCATAGAGGGAAACATTGATAAGTAAGGGGGGTGTAATTGCTGGAGTGATGTTGATGATCTTGATTAGGCAAGCCAAGATTGGGATTCGGTGCCTTAGCAGAGGGACTGCCTTTGGCTAAGAGCATGGAAAACTCAACTACATAATAGGGGTAAGGTGGAGAAGAGGTTAAAGATGTTGGTATGTGGGTATGGGTAGATGAGATTGTGGGATTCTGTGAGATTTTCATTTCATTGCTTCAATCTTCTCAATGAAAAAGAAAGCAAGGTTGTTAACTGAGAAATGAGGATGAAAGGGAAGGAAGTGTAGATTAGAGGACAGAGAGGTGTGAAATCCAGAAGAATGGAGGAAGGAAGTGGAATTCTGGAGCAGCACTAAGGGCCCACTGGTGGTTAAAAGTGGTGAAATTAAAGTGAAACTCACTAGTGTGATTGTGTTTTTCTCTAGCCACTTTCAGATGCAGGGGTACTGGTGTGGAGTAGGTGGACAGCTGGCTTGACCAGGATTCTGGTTTTGCCAATTAAAATCTCACAACAACCAAAAACATCTTGAGTTGATGATGCACCGTAAGTAATGGGTGAGAGTTTTAATTTGTTCCGTCAGGTGGGACAGTTTTGAAAGGGGATGCTCTGTCCTCAGGTGATTTGTCAAGCTGAACAATTTTATTAAATAGTATATATAGCAGGGGCGGATCTGTAAATGAATTACCTTAAAACTAGTCTTGGAAAGTCTTCCTGAACCCCAGGAGTAAGGACCATTGAAGATGACAGTTGTAGAGTCTTTCTAGCAGAAGAGGTAAGAGCACAGGATGTGATGGTAGGGAAGACAGCATGGAAATAGGGTAGGGGGTAGGACACTGTGTGTGAAAGGTAGGAGGGTGAAGAGACTTAAGAAATGATTTTAGAACTCCCCAGTATTTAGTTTTCATGTGACCCCTGAATGGAAGCATTTTCTAGGTGGTAGCAAAAAATAAAATAAAAATTTAAAAATTATATAATTAGTATGTGCTTTCTGAAATTTTTTGAATATAAAAGAAATTCATGCATCTTGGAAAACTTTCAAATAGAGTACTAATTCAAAAGCAGAGTTTATGCTTTTCCCTACCCAACAGGTAACCTAGTTAACAGGTGTGTTGTAGGTCCCGTCCAACTCTGAGGTTCCACCGAAATCTCTTCTACTCACTTTTCCTAATACCTGACCAGATTCTCAAATGTGTAATTCCTCGACTCTCCTGTGCACCCCTTAAGCCCAAAAGGGATTTGGCAAGTTTAAACACTTTTGGATCTAGTGATCCAGGGATGGTGGAAACGGAAGGTGCGGTCGTCGCCAGTTTCTTTCCAAAGTGAACCGCTACAACCACCTTCACCCCGGAGCTGGCTGTCCAAGTCTAATTTTTGTGCCCGCAGGTCCTCAAAACACAAGGGCCGGCTGATCGCTATTTATAAACACTTACTGGACGCCCACTCTACTCCGAGCTCTCTCGCGCTGCTTGAGTACTTTTCTGCAAAGGGATGCCAATTTTTCTGATGAACTCCCTCCAAGCAGCCCTTTGTGGGGCAGCGCCCTAAGCCGGGGCCGGAGCCCAGAACGGGACTCTGGGCAGCCAGCCGACTGGTGCTGCCTCACGGGCGCAGGCGCAGAGCGACCCTCCCGTCACTCCGGGCGGGAGGCGGGGGCAGCAGGGAGAAAGGAAAGCTGCGGGGGGAAAAAGGGCCAAACCCTGAAATTACCCGGATGTGGTCTCCGTGCGCGCATGCTCAGTGTCCTCTCGACAAGTTGGCAGCAACAACACGGCCCTGGTCGTCGTCGCCGCTGCGGTAACGGAGCGGCTCGGGTGGCGGAGCCCACGTTCGCGCCCGCCCGCTCTCCTCTGAAGGCCCTTCCCGCCCTCCTCTCAACTCCACAGCCGCTCAGGGGGCGGGAGCGGGTGAGGGGAGCCGGGCGCCCCGCGAGAGAGGCACCCCGCCGCGGGGCGGCCCGGGAGCTCGAGGCGGCCCGCGCAGGCAGCGGCGCGGCGCCGAGGAGGGGCGGCCTGGCCCGGACGCGGCGGGGCGGGGGCGGAGGAGCGCTCCGGTCCGCCGGGGGAGCGACGGGCCCGGCGCCTCCGCGGACGAGCGGCGGCGGGAGAGCGGACACTCCTTGCCATCGCCCGAGCCCAGGTAACGCGCCATGTCCCCTCCCCTTCCCCCGGCCGGGCCCGCGCACCCCGCCCGCGGCTCCCCCGCCCCGGGGCGGGCTCCCGGCGGCGGCGGCGGCGGCGGGGAGCGAGCGGGAGGCCGGCTGGTGCGCCGGGAGAGCGAGAGCGGCCCCCCTGACGGGCCGGACCGGCGGGGCCGCGGCGCCTCGCGTGTCCCCGCGTCCCTCGGGCTCCGGGCTCGGTCCTCCGGCCCCGAACTCCCCTTGCGGTGTGTGGCAGAATCAAGTTGAACTCGGACCGGGACTCCTGCCGCGGCCGCAGCTTTCTTTGTTGTTCTTGAGTAGTTTCACTGTCCGCCCCAGCCCGGCGCGCTGGGGAGGCTGGAGTGTGTCGCCTTGGGTATAAATGAAAGTTGTAAATGGCCTGCCGTCATTTCTTTTCTCAAGGAAATTTTTGTTTTCTCTTTGTCCTTTACTTTACCTTCATGGTTGTGTCATTCCAGGTTTTGTTTCTGGCTTTGATTTGTTTACTTTTTGAGTATTGTGGGTGATGGCGGTATGCGGGAAGCAGCCTCAGCACCTAACTGACCGCCACCCCAACCCCACCCCACCCCTAATAAAAAATAAGGACACAGTTTATCTTATTGCTGGGACTACAAGTACTGAGCGTGAAATTGGTGTAGGATGTAGGGCGGTGGCTCCATCACATGCCCCAAACTGGGGTTGTAATTTCTCAGGCAAGATTTTCAAAGAAATGGGTGTGTGTGGTTAACTAGAAAGATTTCTTTGCGGGTATACGTAGATTTTTAAAAACTCTGTTGGTGATTGATAGCTATTTTCCCCTTTGAAATTCCCAGCAAATTTTTTTTTAATGAACATATTTATTTCTAATTATTTATTTTGAATTTAGTTTCTTAATGCCTTTAATTTTTGCATCACACTTGAGGGTGAAATTGCCGGTTATTCCGGAATTATAAATACAAAACAATGTGGAATCATATTAATTAGTCCGAATTAATTTTTTAAAGGCATGTAATATTGGCTAATTTTTGTTAACAACCTTTGACTTTTGCCAGAATTAGCATCTTTTTAGTCTTGATGGCAGTTCGATTATGTGGCTTTTAAAAAGTAGGTTCAGTATTTTTGTTGGAAGAGACCATGTCGTCTTAAGAGAGAATAAAGAAATGCATATTTTCAAAAAGTAATCAGATTTAGAACATTGCATTGGGATAAATTTTATTGTGGATTTCATAAATTGCCTTTGCCTTGTTATACAGAGACTAAATATATTTCAGTTGAAATATAGTAAGTTCTAATGTGTAACTTTTCTTTTTCTGCTAAGGACTTCTTATTTTCCTTTTTGAAAAGTTCTGATGTGCTTAGTATATGACATTTCAAGTTGTAAATGATTGATATAATTAACATTTTAAAATATGATATTCTGCTAATGTTTCATAAGTTACGATTTTGTTTTCTTAAAAGGACTTGTTACAGAACAGAGTAATACAGGCAGGCTAAGCATTTAGGATTTGCAGTATTTTTAGGTCTAAAGGTGATAATGAATTATGTAGGTTTAAGTTGTTAGAATTAAAACTAAAAGCCTTTCTAGAGAAAATTGATAAACCATTTTGTGACTCTGTTAATAGAAGTGGCTTTTTCTTTGCTTTCCAGGTTTTTGGGTGAGGTTGCTTTAAAGAGGTATTACATCTTAATTTTTTTTTTTTTTTTTGTTTCTGAAGTGGGAGTGCCTAAGTAGAAGTTTCTCTGTTTAGCTAAATGCCATCATTGTAAATCTTGAGCTTAGGAAAGAACTGCAAATCAGTTGCAGATTTAATGAAAATTTGGGCTGAGAAAGTGAATTCGAAATTTTTAGAATATGTTTTATATGGATCATTGGCCTTTCTGATGACTTTGCTGCTTGAATCAATTCTGCTTATACTATGAAGCAGCAAATCTTATTTCTAAAAATCTACGTATGCTTCACTTTCTTAAGCTGCATTTTAGTTGAGCTGTTTCTTTATGTGTGAATTATTTTTTCTGCATTCCCCTGTAGGTGTCATCCCCCCTCCTCCCCCAATTAAAGAGCAAGCATTAAACTCATTTATGCTGCCCAGTCACACTATACCTCTCTGGTTTGGAAGCTGGGTTTTTTTTGTTTGTTTGTTTGTTTGTTTTGTTTTGTTTTGTTTTTTTCCTTCCTGATTGAACTGGTGTTAAAGTAACATCATTAGACACTATTCTTATTGAGCTGTAAATTGCTGAGGCCTCTACTAGGGCAGTTAACCCTGTAGGATCTGCCTTGTTCATTACATTTAAAATGTGTGATTTGTCTCATCTAAAATTTTGCCTATTTTGGTGAGTACATTATTTTTCTTATGTTTAAGCTTAGTTCTACATTGTCCACCTCTAGCTCATGCCTAACTTTTTTTCAGTTTTCGTTCAGTGATTTTTAGAGTGAATGGTTCTTTAAAATCTTAGTTGACCATTTTTTTTTTTAAGATTTTATTTATTTATTTGACAGACAGAGATCACAAGTAGGCAGAGAGGCAGGCAGAGAGAGAGGGGAGGAAGCAGGCTCCCTGCTGAGCAGAGAGCCTGATGCGGGGCTCGATCCCAGGATCCTGAGATCATGACCTGAGCCAAAGGCAGAGGCTTTAACCCACTGAGCCACCCAGGCGCCCCTTAGTTGACCATTTCAATGCTCATTGTACATGTTTTGATTTCCTTTTTTTCTAGAAGATTGTGTAGTTAGGCAGAAATCTTTGCTTTGCTTAAGTGATTAGAGGTTGACTGAAGTGATGCTTAATCATGTGTAAAACTAACATGACTAGAACAGTTTCATTGATTTCATTATTTTCTACACTAAATCAAAGTTAAAGGACTTGGATAACCATAACACAGGATATAATTTTTTTAAATTATCAAATTTTGGGCTTTTTACTCAACAGTTGATGAAGATTTTATTGTTTTAAAAATTCAAACAGTTAATATGTGTAGATATTCATTTGAGCAACTTTCAGTATGATACTGTTTGCATCATAATATGACAAAACATCTGCTTGGTAATGAGTCCGATTTAGAATTTCTGGATTTTTTTCTCATTTTGAAATGTGTAATTTTGGTGATGGGAAGTGTGGCTGAATTCCAGTTTCTCAGGAACAAGGTATTTTAGGTTGTGTCACCTTGACATTATTTTGTGGTGTGGTTGGCATCCAGGAAAATTTGTTTTAACCATGCGAGTGGATAGAAACTAGAGTAGTGCTTACTTATGTAAAACTAAGATGATAGGTGGTCAGAATCTTATAATTTTAAGTCTGGATTATTTGCTACTGCAAATTATATCATAGGTCAGATAGACACCGAAGACTGGTTGTAAAGATTGTCTAACATCTTATTTATTTATTTTTTTAAGATTTTATTTATTTGACAGAGAGATCACAAGTAGGCATAGAGGCAGGCAGGGGCATGGGGCTGGGTGGGTGGGCAGGAAGCATGCTCCCTGCTGAGCATAGAGCCCTGTGCAGGGGAGGGGGGCTCCATCCCAGGAGCCTGAGATCATAACCAGAGCCGAAGGCAGAAATGTGTAGACTTAATCCACTGAGCCACCCAGGCGCCCCTATCTGTTACAACATCTAAATTTGAAGTTGTCGATAATTGCAAATACATTTAAGCTCAAAAACTGTATTACTTGAAATGAGAATTGTTTGCCCTTTGGAGAACTTGGAACTGTGTGGGGTTCATCTTTTTATTGCCTCTTTACTCCCAAGGTTTAGGACAGTGGTTCTCAACCTTAGATGCATTTTGAAATCTTCTGGGGAGCTTTGCAAAATACTGGTGGCTGGATCCCACCTCCCAAAATTGATTCAGTTGGCCTGGGGTACAGCAAGATTAGAGTTGGAGATGGCTTAGTTATTAGGGTCCTCTAACTTTATATTTTGAACTGTTTCACTTGTGTCAGTTTTCCATCCTTTAATACAATGATGAGCATATGTACTGTGTAATCATGTCACATCTAACTTAATGGGTCTCTTGAAGGTATTGTCCCTTTTATTTTGCGTCAGTATTTGTCCCTTCATTTGTCCCTCTTTCCCTTCTTTTCTCTTCTTTGTTCATTTTTTTTTCAAATCATTTGAAATGTCTGGTAGCAAGTTTTAGGGACTTGTATTTCCTGTGATAAGAAGTTGGTATAGCATTACTATTCCAAATAGGAAGTTGATCTTTTTCTTAAAGTACTCTAAAATGTTTATTTGGTCTCCTTTTAGAGACTTAGGACTTTGTTTAGGTGCCAAAATTAGCATCTAAACTCCCAGTGGAATTTGGTATTCAAGGGGGGTTAATCTGGTGAGAAACCGTACATTTTCTAGGCATCAGTTAACTGGTCACTTCACTGGTTCCTGAGAGGCAAGTTTGCATTTCACTTTTGCTGTCAAGAGTTAAGTTGTGTGCTGTGAGACAGTTGCTCAGCAAGCCCAACTAGTTAGCATTTCTATAGAAATCATCTAGGGTGGGCATACTCAGTTCTCCATTACATCACCTTAGTAGTTCCTAAGTGCTGGTTGAGGAGTACATGCGTCTTCATCTCTGGAAGAGCTGTATTTTTTTAAAATTATTTTTCTCTTCCTACGCTCAATTCCAACACACATACACATTCAGAATGGGAATTGAGTGAGGAGGCATGGGAATCTGTATGATTAAAAAATGATTAAAAAACTTCTTGGGGCGCCTGGGTGGCTCAGTGGGTTAAGCTACTGCCTTCGGCTCGGGTCATGATCTCCTGGGATCGAGTCCTGCATCGGGCTCTACTCAGCAGGGAGCCTGCTTCCCTTCCTCTCTCTCTGCCTGCCTCTCTGCCTACTTGTGATCTCTCTCTCTCTGTCAAATAAATAAATAAATAAAAACCAAAAAAAAAAACCCCACAAAACTTCTTGATCTTAAAGGCTTTAGATATTTTGTCCTTATTGCTTTGCTTTGATATGTGACAGGCTTTATTTTGCAGTCATTGATGCACTGGAAAATTTACTTT